CCAGGCCCGGTCCTGGGGGGCTTTAAAAAAAAAATTTTTTTTTTTTTTTTTTTTTTTTTTGGTATGGGGGATTGATCTCAGGACCTTGGCACTTGAGAAGCAGACACGATCTAACTCTTCTTTATAGGAAGAAGAAACAAAAAGGAAAGGGAAGTGGCAAGCTTCTTTCACCATTGATTTATGGCCCCACCCACTTGCCATAGTATTTTTGGCAGTGTTTGCACAGAAGGCAGGAGTGAGAGCACAAGTGTCTTCTGTAAAAATCAGTCCAGGGAACCCCACCTTGCTCTAGTTAGCAGGCTAACAATGGGAAAGAGAGTAATTGTGACACTCAGCTGCCAGAGATGTTCCCATGTGGACACTGTTGGGATGAGTGACAGTTTAAAGGTGGTTAAGAGTATAGGTTTAGTGCAGCCATAGCAAATCTTTCAGAGTTTTCAATTATAGTAAATAGCTGGCTGTGGCACGTGTGCCATAAGGTTGCCACCACTGGTTTAGCACATATCCAAAGGAATTGAAAACAAGTGCTCAGGCAAAACGTGTACAAGAATGTTCCTAATCACACCAATCACAATGGCCAGAACATGACGACAATTTAAATGTCTATCAACTGGTGATGGATGGAACAACGAAATGTGGCATATCCATGCCTCAACAGAGAAGAACCTTAAAAGCATTATACAAAGTGAAAGAAACCAGATGCAAAAACCATACATATAGCATGTGATTCTTTTTATACAAAATACTAAGAGTAGACAAATTTTTACAGCCAGAAGGTACACTGGAGGTTACCAAGGGCTGGGAGGAAAAGGGATTGGGCAGCGACAGCTGATGTAGAAGGCTCATTTGGGATATGTGAAATACTCTGGAACTGGATAGGGGTTATGGTGCTAGAACACTGTACAACTGTGCTACTGGATTATACGTTTTAAAATAACAAATTTTATGTTAAATGTATTTAACCACAATAAAAATTAAAGAAACTTGTTTTAGAGTGTGGGGTGGTGTATAGACCTAGATTGTTTTGCCTACATCCTACCAGCTACCAGTGACCACAGCCTTGGAGAAGTTACTTAAACTCTCAGTTCCCATTTTCTGACCTGGAAAATGGAGGCCACTGTGACAGTGCCCACTTGTAGTCTATACATCGTAAATGAGTCGGAGTATGTAAAGTACCTTTCTGCCAATGATCACAATTGGGGGTGTGATGCTAGCATCTAGGGAAGAGGCCAAGGATGCTCCCGAATATCTTACCATACACAGGATAGACCTCCACCCCAATAAAAATTATCCTGACCAAAATGTCAGCAGTTCCAGGGAGAATCCCTGGTTTAAACAGAATGTGTACAGAAATGTGCTTCATTTCATGAACGCAGAGGTAAAATAGATAAGATGGAAATTTCTGTTGTAGAAAGACTGTCAGCAGAAGTATTCAGTGTCTACCGTGTATAGAGAATGCTGTATTTGACATTGTGGAAGATGTAAAGGGAACCAAGGAGCTGTCCTCCAGGGGCTTAGATGAAGAAGAGCTCTGTATGAGTACAATCTATAAGAGGGAGATTTTTATCAAGAGATTTTTATAATCATTTTCCTTTAATAAGAGGGTGACCTGAGGTCAGCCACACTACTGACAATCAGGCTTGAGCCAATACTAATACTTACAGTCCCCTGTAAAAAGATCCTTGAGGGAACAGTGTGTGCTTATGGGCTCATGTCTAAATGTGTCTTGTGTTTGCATAAATTCTATTGACTATATATCTGAAAAAGAAATCACTGTCACAAATAAAAAAATCACTTGTTCTCAATAAAGACCCAATAATGGAAATTATGAACTCTCCTTGTATTCACCCACATACCAAAAGGAGAAGGAGTCCCTTTTTGCTCACTTTTTATTTAAAAAGTTAATCAGATTCTGAAAGAGACTATTCATGTAATTAACCTAGTTCAGATCACAGCATTTGTTCTTACCCAACATGGCTGGCTGGCCATTGAAGCGTATCTCTTGAATTGCTAACAGTGAAGGTCTGGTAAAGGTTCCTTATTCCCCAGCTCCATCTTTACCTTTAATCTAAGCATCAGAAGACTTTCAGAGGTACTCCATGCCTCTGCTTGATCCCTAGGAGTGACAGCTGCCCTAGATTGGTTAGTGGGAAGGAGGGCTAAGGAACCTGGTGGAGCCCATCAGAAGGGCAGCTTTCTGGAGGTTTGGGTCCTTGGAAGCAGAGGCTTCCTTGGAAGAAGGGGTGATCACAGGGTAGAATGAGAGACCCCATGCCATGCAGATGCCTCTGCCACCTTCCTCTGGAGCTCTGGGTACCTACAGGAGCAAGTGCTTTCTAGCACCTATATTTATTTATTCAGTGCCTGCTATGGCAAGGAATCTTATTAGACCCTCTCATAGGGCGAACACGGGCAAGTTGGGTATATGTATGTCACAATGCATCTCAGCATGACATGGAAATGAAATCATCACCATAATACAAGAAAGTGCTAAGTACAACCAGAGAAATGTGGATGAAACATCATCAGATTTCAGAGGACAGCTTACCTCCAGTGAGGAGTTTGGAAAGTCTTTTTGGACATTTGGATTAGAATGTGAATGCTGATGAAGATGTAAACATGCCAAAATGATGATAATATCCTAACAAAGAGAGCAAACTACTAAGATGAGAAGCTGAGCATGTCAGAAAAGAGATTTTTATTGGATTTGTGTGGGGAAATAGTATAAACTGGGTATATTGGGACCAGCTCATGAAAACCTGTGAGGGCATGACATATTTAAGTGACAGAAAAGCACAGACATTTGCTGAGAAGATGGGAAATGGTGTTTGGATAAGGAAGTGCCCTGCAGATATGTACAAGGTAGACTAGAATGATGACAAGGGTCTGCATTATGGTGGGGATATCTGACCAGTGTTTCAGCAGTGCAGCCCATGGTTACATGATGTGGCAGCCTATCACTGTACTTAGCAGGGCACACCGTTAGAGTTGCAGGCTGTGGATATCGATGCTTTATGTCCTAGTCTTGGTTCTGCAGTTTAAACTAGCTCCATGTCCTTGGCCGAAGTATTGTACCTCTCAGTGCCTCACTCTCTTCATCTATGAAGTGGGAATAAACATCTTGCTCTTCATACCACGTATTGAAGTTTAAAGAAGTATGAACATTAAATATATTCTGAGCACCATCCGGCTTAGCTGAAGTTACTATGCTCACTATAAAGCATGGCTGTTCCTATTGAAGGTCACAGAAGATGAAATAAGAGAATGGACTTCTGACATGAGACGAAATGAGGATGGAATGTAGGAACAGAGAGTTATACAGGAGAGTGGTGATTTTTTGTTGTTGTACACAAGGCTCCTTGGAACGGCCATGGTAAGATATGGGGCTGTGTCTTGGTAGGGGACAGGATGAATTTATAGACTGTTCATCTCCGTAATGATCCTGCCATCTATGTTCTTCTTGCTTTCTAGTTCCAAAGTATTGACTTTACCGTCTGGCATCAGCTACATTAAAGTTCAGCAGCCTAACAGGAGTACTCCCAAGACATTGTGACTTCCCTTTTTTTTTATTAACGGAGAGACTTAGGACCAAAAACTGTGGTCCCACAGGAGGCCATCAAGTGCATGATACTCTTAAAAGCAAAAAGGACATTTAGATAGGCTGGGCAATAACAGAGTGAACATGAAAGATGTTTTTTTTTCTTAAAAGAATGGTGATGTTTGGGATTTCATTAAGGAATGTCTTGTCTATGTGGGTTTGGTAGGGTTAGAAGGAAAGGGAGCAGAGAAACAGGGAGGTATCCTAGAGCAAGACATCCTGCCTCTTACTTTGTAACTTTGACTATAAAACTCTAAGCTGAAATGCTGTGCTCTTCTTTGATACTCCAGTCAATGCTCAGCCTGTTCCAATTTAATGCATGCATAAGAATAAGGATGAAGGTTTCAAGTGCTGGGGCAGATTTGAAAAAAAGAGATGAGGCTTTATCCCTGTAAGATTAAATAATCATTGGGGTTTAAAGGTTTGATCTGCTGGAGTTCAGCCCGGGATGGGGTTCAGAGGCCCAGGATAATTGGATACAGCCTTAGACTTTGAACATCAGAGGTAGTTGGGGTGCGTGCGTGTTTGTGTGTGTGTGTGTGTGTGTGTGTGTGTGTGCAATGTACTAGTAAGTAAGAGCAGCCTTTCCTTTGCTGTGTTCCACAGCAGAAAGAATAAAGCCGGCTGCCCCTTCCTCACTGATCCTCAGTGACTGACTGGATACAGCTCCTGGGGGTTGCTGCACACATGAATGTGTGCTATTGTTTCAAGCACACGCCAGCCTTAAGAAATAGCACAAAACAGGCCCGTCCTTATTCAGCAGCAGAGCCCCCTCCATCACTCAAACCGGCCCTTCCAGGTCACATGTCGGGGCCTCTGCAGACAGGACGCAGCTGCCTCAAATCTGCTGCCTAACATTAGCTGCGCTTCGAAAACCCTGACAGCAGGGAGCTTCCCAGACTCCGCAGGGGAAACTAGAGAGAGCTGAGACCAGGCACTATGTTCTCCCAGGAAGTGTGGCTGGAAAATGAGAAAAAGTGTGCTGTGGTTCGGAAGTCTAAGCAAGGCAGAAAACGCCAAGAGCTCCTTGCTGTGGCCTTAGGGGTGAAGGTGGGAGTCAAAGGCAGCTTGCTTTGGCCTCCTCTCAAACTCTTTGCCTGTTCACAGATCTCCTCCTTGGTTCGAAGGGCTGCCCTTACACACAATGACAACCACTTCAACTATGAGAAGACTCACAACTTCAAGGTAAGTCTGCGTCTTTTCTTCTGCCATACCAGGGCAGGTGGGGAGGTATTGTGGATGCTTTCCATCTGGTCTCTAGTGGTAAAGATAGGAGACTGCACATTCCTTTGTTTTTGTGCTTAACACTGTACCTTTGCATGCTATCAAAATGGAGTCCTTAGAAACATTTTGCTTGGTCTTTGTGCTTGGAAACACCTATGTGTATATTGCCTTAATTCTGGAGAATTAGGCCCATTTCCTCTTCATCTTCCCATATCCAATGAAAGAAAAACAGAGCATGCCCAATCCATGGCATTTACAGAAGCCCCAGTAAAAGGCCAGCAGTACTTTTCCACTCAGAGTAGCAATGAAAGAGTATTGCTGTTTCTGGGTGAGTGAGAACAGTTGCCTGTTTCAGGTTTTGTGTTTTGTCTTTTGTTTTCGGCAATGCTAACTCCCTTCATTTCTGTGTAGACAGCTGTGAAAGCAAATAAGGACAACAGCTACCATCCAGTGCCTTTTGTGTGTGCTGGGTACAGGGCACTGTCTCAGCCTAGTTAAACTGGAACCTCCTCTCCAGACCAAATAAAAGATAGGGTGATCCCGTGGGAGGTTAAGTGGATTTTCCCATGTGCATTTACAAATGGGAAAGACTACTATCTCCATTTTAGACCAGCACTTGTAGATCTCACTTTTTGTCAAAAAATTTATGGCCTGCTTCCTTTGCTCTACCATGCTGTCCAAGAGGGGCTTGGAGGGGAATCTGATGCCTCATTGCCCAGTTTAGGAAGCTGCTGAGGGAGGGCGAGACAAACTAGAGTTACAGCAAAGGGTCTGATGGTTAGCAACTTTGAGAAATTAGAGTTAAGGGATCCAGGGAGAAAAGAATAAGCAGGAGAAGCAAAATGTGAATTGTCTGCCTTTTTAAACTTTAATTTTCATTAGGGCCAGTAGCCTGAATGACTGTTGGAGTTAGGTAATCTTTGGTCAGAGGCAAAAAGGGAAATGAGTTTTCTTGTGTTGCTTACTGATCCTTCATAAGAACAAATATTCATCAATTAAATATACCTCAGTTTAGTCTGTTTCCCTGCTTCTGTTTTTAGAAAGTAAATGGTTCTGGCATCTGCATGCTGTCAATGAACTGAGGGATGGAATTATTCAGCCCTATATATTTAGCATTAGGGTAAAGAACTGCATTTATATGGGTCCTCTTTCACGCAAGTCTCTTGATACTTCTCTCATCACTGGATTGTGATAGGTCTAATTTGGAGTACATAAAGTCTATGGAGTTTTTTCTTCCTGTTTTGTATTTCAACCCTCATTAACCTTTTTACCTTAAGAAAATGTTTTTCTGACTTTTGGCAGAAACCCTTGATTTTTTGCTTCCTGTGGATGCACTAACATGGACGAGAGGGTGGATCTTCTCGGACTTGTAAATCCTTTCCCTTCTTTTCCTTCCTTTGGAAAATTCCAATTAACTCTCCTTTAAGATTTAATTGGAATTATATCCTACCATAATATTTGCATAGAATAGCTTCTCCGTCTACATTCTGTGTCTGGCCTGATGTTAAAAACCCATATTTAGTTGATTGATAACTTCAAATTCATTGTCAATCTATTTTCTCTTAGATCTCTGAATGAGAAATTACTCTTAAGGCATTTTAAAACAAAAAGATAGTTGGATCTTATTTCTTAAATAGTACTTTTGTTACTGTGGTATAATAAATATTTGTCACTGAAAAAGACCAGCAACTTTTTAAATGTTGACTTAAAAACTCATTATCTATTCAGTGTGGTTTCTTCTAACTTACAGCTATTGGGAGAAGAAAGGGCCCAAAGTAGACATGCTGTGCAAGAGGGCACATAAACCAGACAGAAGCGTGTCTCTGTATGTTTTAAATAGGCAGGAGGCACCTTTGGAACTTGGCAGACCCTCTAGTGGCTTGTGGCTTTGAATGGTACTGTCTGTGCCACTGTCCTTAAAAATGAGTGGCTGGGACCAGAGGAGGCGTTTCCTTTGTCATTCCTGGCCCTTTCCATCCCTAGTCTTTTTACTTTTTCTTCATCCTCAACAAACTGAAAGTGGAAACTTTGTATGGGGTTTGGAAGAATATTCTAAAAGCAGGTCCAGGCTATAATTACAGCAGTGAAATTTTAGTAACAAGCCACTAACCAAAGGAAGTAATCTCATACAGAGACCCCACCGTTTGCTGGAATATATCTTAATTTTACATTAGCTTTTTATTTATGTTAGTTTCTAATGGTTTTTATTCTGGAACTTTATTGATTTGTATGCAGAATGTTATTGGAGGATATTATATCCTGCCAAAGAGTAAGTGTTCAAAGAATGAATGCTCATATTTTTATACTGGCTTCCATCCACACTCCTGCCTGAGGTTGAAGTCTGCCAGGAGAGCCTGAAGCCTCACCTCTTCACAAGATTTTTTTGCCTCAGTCAGGTCTATTCCCTCAGTAAAAGTTCCTCCTTGTTCTACCCAAGAACTTCATCAAGAGGAGTGAACAGAACCTCCCAGCACTGTACAAGTTAGGAATTTTTGCCTTGTCCTTTTTGAAACATCCCAGCTGCTATTCTTAAGTACAGTCCATATCTACCGTGCGTCTTTTCAAACAAGCACATCTAGGAAAAGCCAGAATTGAGCCAGAACAAAAGCTTTTGAAACCAAATTGCAATTATGCCTCATTTCCTGCAATAATAATGTACAATCCTTTTAAAACATCATATTACACTGATGCAAGTTTTTCTCATTTTAGGCCTGAATTTTTTGCGGTTACTTGCATCTCCTAGGCACCCATGATGAGGCATTTATTAAAGAATGGTGAAATTAGCAGGCCACACTCTAAAATCATCAAGAGAAAAACCACTCCATTATTTATCTCCTTTTACAGTGGCAGCTCTATTTCCAAGCTGGCTGAAAGAGACACTCTCCTGAAGATGAAATAGTCTCTTTTAATGGACTACCCTAGTAATACCTGTGGCTGAGTTCTACAAAATCTCTGGGCCAGCCAACCCCAGAGCTCCAACAATCTGATTGGCTGTCATTCCTGCCCACCCTTAGCTCACAAGGAGGTTTCTTATCACTCTTGACCATGACACAATGTTTAGTAAAGACGTGAGCTCTTTCAGCCTCAGTTTCCTCTTCAGCAAAATGGGAGTACTGTGATTTTTAAAGACACCTGTAAATTACTTATCCTGATCTATGGTACCTTATAATAAGTATTCATTTGATGTTAACATCTATTATTAGTTTATTATTCATATGTTTTGTCTCTTTCTCCAGCTTAAAAAAATGTATATACGAGGACTATTAATTTCTTGTCATAATGAATGATCACAAACTTGGAGGCTTAAAAAATAAAACTTTATTTTCTCACAGTTTTTGAGGCTAGACGTGAAGTCGAGGTGTGAGCTGGATTGGTTCCTTCTACAGGTTCTGCAGTTCTCCTGTGTCTTTTTCCCACCTCTGGGGATGGCTGGCAGTCCTTGGAGCCCCTCTCTCTTATACTCTGGACAGACAACAACCCTGCAGTTTCTGCCTCTATCTTGTCATTGTCTTCTCTCTGTATCTGTCTTGTCTGACACAAGCCACATACGAGTTATAGGACTACTAGTCATTAGATTCAGGTCTAGCTTACTCCAAGGTTACTTCATTTTCACTGTACCCTCAAAGAACCTATTTCTATAAGGCAATATTAGTAGAGACCAGGGGTTAGGATTTGAGTGTGCTTTTGACTGGGGGGATACAGTTCAACCCATGACTAGGACTGGTTAGATAGTTGCAGGACCTTCAAGCAGAAGGATACCTAGCTTCAATTCAAAAGATGCATCATCAGAGCTGTGAGTTGAAGTTCATTGCTGTATTAAAGGTTTTTCTTGCCCACCCACCCCCACAAAAAGGTCTCAGTTGTAATCTAATTGCTATTAAGTATCAATCCCTTGGTCCAGACATGGCCTGGGACTTAAAGGAAAAAAATGTTTCTTATTACTGCTTCATTGCTGTGACTGAAAGTGATGAAATTTAGTCATTCCTCATCTTCAATCTTTCCTAAGCATTTTTTTCATGAAGAGAAGTATGATAAGGGTAACAAGAATCTTTAAAATACCTAGTAACCTTCCATTTCTTCGTAGTAAATCAGAAATACCTCTTTGCTCTTGTTGATTCATATTCAGAGAATATACGTTTTAGTCAAATGTAAGGTATAGCTCTAGTTTTCATTAATATATTTGATTAGGCAAGATTGGCTACATAATTAGTGGAGACTGGTGCAAAATAAAAATGCAATATCCCTTGTTAAATATTACTGAGAATTTCAGGATGGTGACAGCAGAGCAGTTAGCCAACTGTGGTCCTTCTCAGTACAGGGCTATGTGTGACTGCACAGGCCACAGCCAGGAAGCTGCCCATGGTTACAGACAAGGAGCAGGAGTCATGAAGATCTATTTCCATGAGAATTCCAACAAGAGGAGCTCCCCGGTGCTACGAACAGGTGAAGGTCTTTACCCTTCTTTAACCAGAAGGGTGAGGCAGGGAACAGGAAGGAGCCCCACCCCGATAAGGAAATGAATGTACAAAGCAAAACATGAGCATTCTGGGTGGTGCAAGCCACGCATAAGAAGACGCAGAGTCAGAAATGAGCCAGGAGTGAATGGAGTGCAGAGGAGAGATGCAGAGAGGGGCAGAGAGGGCCAAGTCCTAATTCATCAGCAAGAGAGGGACCAGGTTAGGCATGGGTTCACCAGAGCCCACCAGTGACCTTCAGCCAGCCATGTGTGCACTGTGTCCAGATCCCTCCCTCCCGCTACCTAGCAGTCTCCCTCCCCGAGGCTCCAAGATACCCTCCCGCCTCACACAGGAAATAAGGATAGAGAGTAGAGGCCTAGATATCTCTAAAGGTCCAGAGCAAACCAGCCTGACCCCATCTCACCCTGTGTGTTCCATCCCTGTGCCATACCGCTTTTCCCCACAGTGTGGTCACTGGCTATTGTACACGTTTCTTAGTAGTCT